ACAGGAAGCGGGTCTTGCGGTCCTTGAGCAGCAAGAAGTACAAGCTGCCGTCCTTGGCAGCCACGTGGAACGGCCCGCACAGGTCGATGTGCACGACAGCAAGCACGTCGTCGGCGTCGGAGCCTTTGTCGGGGAAGGTGTGCCGCGCCTGTTTCCCACCGACGCACGAGACACACGGTGAGTTGGCGCCCGTCGCCGACTTGAGGTCCAGCCCAGTGGCGACCTCGTGCTTCGGCGAGCTCCGTATGGTGTCCATGCCGACGTGCGCAAGCCGTGCATGCATCCTGTCCGGCGTCGACTTCGTCCTCGAGACGATCGCCCGCAGGGCCACAACCTCCATCGTGGGCGACGTCGACCTCGTTGAGTAGGGACGCAGGTCGGTGCAGAGGACACGCTCGGAGTACGTCGCCTGACCGAGCACTTCCCCGGCCGCCGAGATGAGCAGCATGCCGTCTCCGTCCTCCTGCATCTTCACGCCGTGCTCCTTCAGCTGGCCGGACGACAGCAGGTTTGCCCGCACACCCGGGACGTACAGCACGTCGGGGATGAGCACCTGCTTCCCGGCCTCTCCTTGCAGGGCGACGGTGCCACGGCCCTGGACGTCCTGCAATGCCCCATTGAAGCTACGCACGTGCTTAAAGGAGCCGCTCGGCTGCAGGTCGACAAAGACTTCCTTCGTCCCCATCAGGTGGTGGGAGCAGCCGCTGTCAAGCAAGACCACCGCTGGGTTTGCCTGCACAGCTGCCGCCACCGCCTGGAAGTTCTCTCCAGCCTCCGGCGCCAGCGAGACAGTCGGCTCCACGACGCTGACCAGCGAGCACGACGCCGTCTTGTCATCCTGCCCCTTGCCACCTGCAGAGGAGTCGGCGTCCTTCGCCGAGGTCGACGTCGCCGATTGCTTCTCCTTGCGCGGCTTGTTTCCTCCTCGACGAGGACGACGACTTCCAGACCTCCGGCGGCCTCCCTTGGCGTCGTCGTCGTCGCAGTTACTGCGGTTGGGGCACTCGAAGGAGAGGTGGTCGGGGTCGCCGCACAGCCAGCACTCCCAACGTCGACTTCCTCCTCCTCGACCGCTGTCTTTGGTCGACCTCTTCTTGTCGACTTCCTTGGCCGACTTCCAGCCACTGCTACCCGCCGCCGCCAGACTGTCCGCGCTGCCCCGGTCGACTTCCTTGTTTCACCGGGGCGACAAAGTTCGCCTGCGCCAAGAGCTCCTGTGACCGCTCTGCCTCCTGCATCGCCTCATCCTGCAGGATGTACGAGGTCAAGTTGTCCTCGTTGAGCGTCGACCTCGTGCTCGGCGCCATTGACAGCCGCTTCAAGAGGTTGTAGCTGCTCGAGAGTCCCTGCATGACGTGGGTGACGTACGACGCCGTCGAGTACTGCGCGCCGACCATCCTGATGGTGGCGAGAATTCGTCGGGCTCGGTTGCAATAGTCGGTCGTTGTCTCCTCGTCGCCCATACGCAGGTGCGTCAGCTGCCCCTCCAGTTGGGCGATGAACAAGACGTCGGTGACTTGGTAGGTCGACTCAATGAAGTGCCACGCTCGGTGGCCGGCGTCGAGGTACTCTCGGCACCACTTCAAGGCGATCTGCACGCCCGGCGAGCAGCACCGCGAGATGACCGTGAAGGTCAACGGCTGCACGGCGCGGAACTCCGCTCGTAAGTCGACGTGATGCTCCTCCGGCGTCGCCACTGTCCCTCGGGCGAAGCCGATCAGCCTAGCCATCTCTAGCTGGGGCTCGATAGCTTCCTTCCAGGTGAGGATGTTAGGTCGACCAGTGAGCAGCGGGGTGACCAAAATCCTGTCCGGCGTAAACTTGAAGTAGCCGTAGCTCGGTGCTATCCCGCCCGCCGTCACCTGGGTCGCCGACATCGGCGACAACCAACTTCGTCGACCTCCGACGTTGCCATGCGAGAAGCCTGCAGCCACCGACGGCCGCACTCCCTGCACCTGAACGCCGCCGACTTCATCGGCGTGTATCACATCTCTCTGCCTCGACGTGCCTCACGCACTGCTACCGACCTGGTAACCACCGGCGTTGACGCCGACGTCGACGCCGCCCTCTGTGTTCACCGGTCAAGGAGACGCAGGTTGAGGAGGGTGCAACGTCGCCCACATGGTGGGAACGCCAGCCTCCACAACCGCCCAAGGGATCGTTCCGTACTCTTGGGCCCTATGGCGTGTCCTCGCGTCCTCCAGCTGTTCTTCCAGGGTCTCCATTCCCTACGCGCACGCTAGTGACTGCACGGCTGCCGGCCTCCGAACAACTTAGGTAAGTGACCTCTACGTCGACCTGACAAAAGGTAAGTCGTGTGCCGTCCACGCTCACCGCACCATGCGGAGATAACTACTGCAATGGGAGCTAGACTACGGGCTAGGCACGGGTGCTCGTGTGATCTCTGCGTTCGTTGGTCCTTATTTTTTTTCCTAGTGCATACACTGCTTGCTAGTTCACGAGGTAATTAGGCAAGGGTTTCACTAGAGAAAGTTGACAACAAAAATGATACAATGAAGTTGGCAATGCAAGACTACATCAAAGCTAGCATTCAGGTCGGCCAACTGCCAGCGCAGCTTGGTCGACCGCGTTCCAGCACGACTTGGTCGACCGCGCTCCAGCAGTGCAAGGTCGACGGCGTGCCAACATCGCTGGTTGACGGCGTGCCAGCGTTGCTCACACAGAACAGCAGTGCACCCGCTTTGCAGGTGTGTGCAGATGATTGGTGCGCAGAGTCCCGTCACCTGCACAGCGCACACACCACGTCAACCTCGCGCTGACGACTGCCTCTGATCCGCCTCGACGACCTCGGGATACCACCACCGAGGTCAGGCTCACCAACTTCTCCTGGGCGACCTTCGCGTGCCTTCGCAGACCCTCGTCACCCAGGTAGCATGGTCGATCGGGCAACCAGGTCGACCAGCTGCTCCTGCGCGTGCCCGTCGACCTCCCAAGTCAACGACCACCCCCACTCGACCTCCCCAGGTCGACCACTACTCCCTGGTCGACCAGCTCCAAGTCGACGTGACTCCTGGTCGACCAGAAGGTCTGGTCGACGTCCCAGGTCGACCAGAAGGGCTGGTCGACTTCCCAGGTAGACCAGGAGCCGCTCGGTCGACGTCTCGGGTCGACCAGAAGGTCTGGTCGACGTCCCGGGTCGACCAGAAGGTCTGGTCGATGTCCCGAGTCGACCAGAAGGTCTGGTCGGGGTCCCGGGTCGACCAGACGAAGTTGGCGCCCTCCTGAAGTCGGCGCCCATGTAGTGGCTCCCCGTGCAGGTCGACTAACCTCGTCGACCAACTTGCCCACTGCTGCAGGTCGGCTGCACCCTACACCCGACCACGAAGTCGGCTCCGCCCAAGCGTGGACGGGGCCAACATACAACTCCCGTTGACAGTTGTGATGCTGCCGTGCCTTACAGTGGCCCTGCCAGGCAGAGAGTAAGGCAGGGGCGAGACAGAGATGGGGGGAGAGGAGCTGGTTAGGGGCTGCCGTGCCTTGCAGTGGCTCTGCCAGGCAGAGAGTAAGGCAGGGGAGAGACGGAGATGGGGGGAGAGGAGCTGGTTGTGAAGCTGCCGTGCCTTGCAGTGGCTCTGCCAGGCAGAGAGTAAGGCAGGGGAGAGACGGAGATGGGGGGAGAGGAGCTGGTCGTGAAGCTGCCGTGCCTTGCAGTGGCTCTGCCAGGCAGAGAGTAAGGCAGGGGAGAGACGAAGATGGGGGGAGAGGAGCTGGTTGTGAAGCTGCCATGCCTTGCAGTGGCTCTGCCAGGCAGAGATTAAGGCAGGGGAGAGGCCGAGATGGGGGGAGAGGAGCTGGTTGTGAAGCTGCCGTGCCTTGCAGTGGCTCTGCCAGGCAGAGAGTAAGGCAGGGGCGAGACGGAGATCGGGGGAGGGGAGGTGGTCATGAAGCTGACGTGCCTTGCAGTGGCTCTGCCAGGCAGAGAGTAAGGCAGGGGAGAGATGGAGACGGGGGGAGAGGAGCTGGTCGTGAAGCTGCCGTGCCTTGCAGTGGCTCTGCCAGGCAGAGAGTAAGGCAGGGGAGAGACGGAGATGGGGGAAGAGGAGCTGGTTGTGAAGCTGCCGTGCCTTGCAGTGGCTCTGCTAGGCAGAGAGTAAGGCAGGGGAGAGACGGAGATGGGGGGAGAGGAGCTGGTTGTGAAGCTGCCGTGCCTTGCAATGGCTCTGCCAGGCAGAGAGTAAGGCAGGGGAGAGATAGAGATGGGGGGGGAGGAGCTGGTTGTGGAGCTGCTGTGCCTTGCAGTGGCTCTGCCAGGCAGAGAGTAAGGCAGAGGCAAGACGGAGATCGGGGGATGGCCTTGCTACAGTTTAACAGTGAATACACAATGGCAGTTACATGGTTTGAAGACAGACATGAACGAGGAGATGGTGTTGCTTCCGTGCACCTGCCGGCGCCTGTCTGGGCGCAATATGCGAAGGTTGAAGGAGTTGATCACCGAGACCCGGCGAGATGTCAAGAGTTCGTGCCTGAAAGCCTGGAGCCTGTCACGGATGTACCCCCGCCTGTCTAAGTCGAACTGGTACACGTGCCGCAGGTTCCACTTCTGTGCTGTCGTCGTGTAACCCATCTTCAACCCCATGGCGCCCAGAATAATGCACCGCGCCGGCCAAAAATCGACTCTGTTGTTTGGGGATCGAAAAAAGATAATATCCCATGTGTCGTTCAGGACAAGCTGTGAGGTAGAGGGGGGGGGAGGGGGGGAGGGAGGGGGGGGGGGGAAGGGGTGGGGGGGGGAGGGAGGAATCGTTTGTTAAGCGTAGTGAGGAAGGATTGGCGTGTATGCATGACAACGGGGATGTCTACAAAGGGGTAATGCAAGTGGGAACAGGATGAACCTCAGCTTACAGTTAGACCATGTGGGAGAGGTGGTACCGACATCATTGCCGTCGCGAGCATCTGAGAGAATCATGAAACTCTGGAGCCACGATGTCTTTGCTCAATGGCACCTTCGTCCTGTACGCGACAGCAATAGCAACTCCCACAGCTTGTTGTGTTTGTCAGGTAGCGTGGTGTCTCCGAATCGCTCGAGGGGCGGGTGGAGGAGGAGGGAACTTTGCGCAGAGTCTCAACCTGGTTCTTCAGCTCCAGATTTTCCTGTTGCAGAGATCGAACAAGGGCTGACATGGAATCAAACTCCTCTCTGCTCACTGGAACTCCAGCAGCGCGCGGTGCCAGTATGTCCAGGGCATCGTCATCAGAGCCATCCTCAGGCTCACCCATGGGTCCTTGGTCATCTCCACCTGGCGGGATACTCGGGATGATGGGCGTAGGTGGAATGGCACCTGCAATAGCATGAGGCATAGTCGGGCTCATAGTCCCTGGCCCAGTGGAGTGAGGCTGTTGCTCGTTGAAGGCTTGTGGGAACACGTCGTCACGAAGTGCACCAACATCGTTCGAGTCGCAACGCGTGAAATCATACTCATCTGCGCTACGGGAAAATGGGGCGGGAATAGAGTGAATGCCGGCATTCGAGGCCCAAGGAACATCACCGTGTGAGACATTGGCGGGTGCTGGCGGAGCCTGCATGTGTGAGGGATTGAGTGTGGGGAAACGACCATTGGGGTGAACAAGGGGGGGAGAGTAGTGCTACTGTCCAGGGTATGTAGCATCTCCAGTAGCAGGTGCAACTGGCGTGCGTAGCATGGAGCCGAATGTAGCAGATGTGGGTGAGTTGTTCGGTGTGCTTATCCACTGCTGCTGCATGGCGTATGGCAGGTTTGCCTCCGCATATGCGTTCGGCGCAGCATTGGCAGGCGGCGGTGGGTGGGCGAGTAGTGCAGCCATGGCCGTCGGCGTCGCGAGTGACTGCTGCTGCTGCTGCTGCTGCGACTAGTGTTGCTGTTGCTGCGTGGCGAACGCAGCTCGGGCCCCCGCAGATGCCGTCGGCGAAGCATTGGCGGGCAGAGGCTGATGCGCGAGGAGCGGGGCTTGGTTGGGTGGCGTCGCGAGTGACTACTGCTGCTGCTGCTGCTGCTGCTTTGACTGGTGTTGTTGTTGCTGCGTGGCAAACGCAGCTCGGGCCCCCGCAGATGCCGCCGGCGAAGCATTGGGGGGCAGAGGCTGATGCGCGAGGAGCGGGGCTTGGTTGGGTGGCACCGCGAGAGACTGCTGTTGCTGCTGCTGCTTCTGATGCTGCTGCGTTCACTGCGTATGCTGCTTCTTCTGTTGCCGCGCGAGTGCTGCAAGAGCACCCGCAGACGCCGCAGGCACAGCAGTGGCAGTCGCATGTTGCTGAGCGATGAGTGCAGCCTTAGCCTGCGCAGCGGCAGCAGCTTGCTGACGTCGAGTCGAACACCCCGTCGTTGCGGGAGCTGAAGGAGCCGCTTGCCCGAGATTGTTTGACGTCAGTATTATTGGCGCGTGACCGCTAGTGTCGGTTGTGCGTGGCTCGTCGTTGCGGGGTGGAGCCCCTTGCATGAAATTGTCCAGAGAGCGGTAACCTCTGGAGCCTGCATACGCCCAAAAAAAAAAGGAGAGAACATGAGTGTCGTTGTGAACAAGGGTTCCAGCCGAGTGAAGTTTGGAAACACGGTTGATACGGTTAAGAAGAAACTAACCTTCCGGAGGTGGTGATTTAGGTCTTCTAGCCGATCCGCGACCACCTCGTCCGCCTTTGTTGCCCTTCATTCTGACGCCACGACCACCATTTGTCGCAGTATCTATCGTCAGGCCGTCAGTGACGATGACGGTCATCGCGCGCTGCTTAATCGTCTTATGGGTCTATCCGTTTCCTTGAGAAATTATGACAGCTATATGACACATCCATCATGTGTTGAGCTTCGCGAACGAGGGAACAAGGAGGTAGACGGAACTTAGAAGGCTCTATCAACGGAACAATGTGACCTACACAACCAAAAACTGACAAGTCATGGTCCTGACACTGAAGATGCTTCGAACACCAACAGAACGCATGAGAGAGTTGGCGAGTTACAGAACTACGGCAAGATAATGAGATGACTATTGTTTGTCTGTGTGACTAAGACGATGATGACTATGCTACGGGTGGGTGGGTGAGAGGATCCACGGCTTGTGGAGGGCAGGTGAGAAAGCAACTTCGTGCGTAAAATACAAAGATTGGCAAAAGCGTATGCATCTGACGGTCGACATGAAAACTCATTGTGCGCTGCGCACCGCACTCAACGTGCATCTCTGAAAATAAGGAAGCCACTGCCCTCGACTGCCTAGAACGTGGAAGCTGAAAAAAATGGCAGCCACTGTTCAACCACTCATCACCACTAAGAAATGAATCAGCCATGTTTGTGAGAGATTAATATGTTTAAAGAAGATAATTATTGAGACAGTTTGGCTAAGTCACCTTTGCCCGTGCTTTGTGATCTGTATGATAACTTGCTTCGTATGTGATTTGTTAGATGCACGGTCATGTGTTTTGTTTGATGCCCTTAAACTGAACTTCAAACGATTTACCGGCTCACACACCCAGATGCAACAATAACGTTAACGCCCACATATCCTTGCATTCTGTGACCCAAAAATATAGTTTGTTTACTATCCAGCATTCCCACAAGGTCCTTTACAATGTAGGTCGCTGTTGGTATTTTTGCATGATTCCACTATTTTCGTCACCTTTGGCCCAATAGAGGTTGCTCTCGACACTTGCTAGCTCATTCTTTGGCTATCACATACTTGCGTTACTTCCAAACGGTTTATTTTTTTGTTAAAGAAATCTAGGCTGGTGCTATCAACTATTAAGGTCCCGACCTGTCACCTTATTCTTGATTGGCAGGCATGCCAGACCATATATCTTGCAGGGTTGCTCGTTACCTCCGCAATGTTGCGTTCTTTTGGTCAACAAGTGTATCTAGAGTGATGGGGATGGCCTGAATTCTTTACCAACACCTACTATCCATGCCATGAGCACCCCGTATGATTTTCAGAGCTATCAGAGAAGGGTAGCATAGTGGCGAGGAGTGAAGCGTCAAGGCATGCGTCGTGGGTAGCAAACCAGCACCATTGCACTTGATGTTATGGCATGGATAACCATGATAGACTGATGGGGATGGCCTGAATTCTTTACCAACACCCACAATCCATGCCATGAGCACCCCATATGAGCTTCAGAGCTATCAGAGAAGGGTAGCATAGTGGCGAGAAGTGCAGCGTCAAGGCATGCGTCGTGGGTAGAGTACCATCACCATTGCACTTGATGTTATGGCATGGATAACCATGCTAGACTGCTGGGGATGGCCTGAATTCCTTACCAACACCTACTATCTATGCCATGAGCACCCCATATGAGTTTCAGAGCCATCAGAGAAGGGTAGCATAGTGGCGAGGAGTGAAACGTCAAGGCATGCGTCATGGGTACAAGAACAGCACCATTGCACTTGATGTTATGGCATGGATAACCATGCTAGACTGCTGGGGATGGCCTAAATTCTTTACCAACACCTACTATCCATGCCATGAGCACCCCATATGAGTTTCAGAGCTATCAGAGAAGGGTAGCATAGTGGCGAGGAGTGAAGCGTCAAGGCATGCGTCGTGGGTAGCAAAACAACACCACCTAATATCCATGCGTTGAGCACACCACAGGAGTTTCAGAGGTAATCGACTATGTTATTCTCTTTTCCACCACTTAATATCCATGCGATGAGCACACCACAGGAGTTTCACAGCCAATTCACTATGTTATTTTCAATTTATGGATTGAATTTCTAAGTGTTTGACCCCATTATGTATTCCAGCCAATAATCTCTGCAACTCTTGGAATATATATTGCATTGCCAGCGTGTCATTCCATCGTGCATTTTCTTGGTGAATCTGTAAGTGTAACATGATTGGTTCATTTCCTACTTATCCTTCCACGAGATCGCCCACAACTTGACGAGTCAACGTGTCCAGCAGAACGCTCCGAAATTGTTTGGTCGAATCAGTCTTCATCATTTTGTTACATGGTATTGAACGATGCCAGAAGGTTCGTATGTGTTGTGCTTGTTTACAGTGCGTTTGCGGGCTGATCTGGGTGATCTGTTGGCACCCGTACCGCGTCCATATTTTGAAATGAAGCACTTCGTGGCTATCAATTCAACACAACCATGCCCCTTCAAACCCTTCCACGAACAACTGCTACTTCTACTTCACCCGAGTACCAGTCAGCACCACATGCCTCTGTTTCGACTACTCTGTCTTTCCTCTTATGGCAGACATACCGGACAGTCATGTGCTCAACTATAGAGCGCGCCTAGCAGACGTAGTTGACGGCGTTCATCAAGATTGGTCTGTCTGGCCTGGTTCGCAGTGTGAGCTAGACGACATAATTGCGTCTGCTGAGTCTAAACACCTATCTCAGCTCAGAGATCCACGGCTCATAGATGCGATGTACGTAGATGTGGTTCGGGCTGATGAAGATGAGCTGCGCAATTGGACTAACGACGCTGCCCGCATTATTAAAGAGATGGCTGAAAACGATGATTCACCAATAATATCGGAATCGGCTTTGAACGAATATCTCAAACAGCGCGAAGAAGACATCTTTAGGCGTCAGAATGAAAGGGCTGCTCGAGTGGATCAGCAACTAGCCGATCTCTGGAAGGAACGGTCGGACTCGATGCTCGCTGAGATTAGCAAGGTGGTACGTGCACGCGCTCGTCATGCAGTAGAAAATGAGCTGTAGTGATGGGTTTTTATTATCTCCATATTCAATTAACTAATTATGTGTGTTATTCGTAGCTGCCGCTGCGTGTAGTAAGCATGAGATTGCTCTTGATCTGTCTGCCGTGGCTGCATAGTATGATTTCACTTATCATTGTGTGTTGTTTTGACAGGCTGGGTTGTGCATGCATTGTGTCATGCTCTAATTTGGTGACCATAGTTAAAACAGGAATGAATACCATAACTGAAGACACCAGTAATTTGTTTGAGTTGCCATCAATAGTACGTAAATTGAAGTGTCATCTAACATCCAGCCTGTACCAGTTGGTCCAACCACATCGACAAGATTTGCCAGAGTCATCACGTTAGTTGTACTATTCTACAAATGAATATTACAACATTATGGATTTATATGAAATGTATGTACCAATAATACATGCTTCCCTCAACAATACAAATCAGCATATTCCTGGTCCACTTGAGTTTTGTGTTTTGAATCCGTACCCCATACAAGCCAGATGAACCCACCGGTACTATGTCGCGACATTTGCGACTCGATGCCACGGTACTGAATGTCACCCAGGCGTGATGAGTCTGCTTCCATCGTTTTCCAGCCCCGACACTAAACTAAAGGTAATCCAGAAGCGGCCATTCAAACACACACACTCACACACTATGAGCTTCACTCACGCACCAATGCG